GTCGCCCCGCGCCGGCGGCCCGTCCTCACCCCCGCGGCTCCCGGCCGCCCTCTGTCCCCACCAGTGTCAGCACCCCACGACGTCCCCTGGCTGACCCCAGCCCTAACCTTCTGATCCCTTCACCAGCCCTGTCCCTCCCCACCCCAAGGTCCGTAATCCCGCGCCAGGAGAGGCTCCCAGCCCTGCTGTGCGTTAGAAACGCCCAGGCGGTAGCTGACGAGAGTAACGAGAGGGTCCGAGTCCGCCCCTTTCACCAGGACAGGCCCCCAGTGACTGTAACGTGCGGCCTGAGCGAGACCCTGTGCTCTGGGACAGAGTTACTCGTACCTGAAGGTGCACCGGGGTCCGGGGCGGGGGCCTTGTTAAAACGCAGGCCGATTCGCCAGGGCCGAGGGGGGCCTGGGAGTCTGCGTTTCTAACAGGTGCCCAGGGCTTGTCACCACTGCGTCTGCAGGCCATTGGGTAGGGTTGTTTCTTGGAAGACAGGTGTCCCATGGGCCACGTTAGCCAGGGAGCGCTTGAAATGCTAAAGTATACACTGGACTGCAAAGACGTCATGTGAACAAAAAGTACATAAAGTGTCCCTTCTTCTTTTCATGGTGTGTTGGAACAACGCTTTGGATATACCAGGTTAAAAGTTAACTTGTTTTCACCATCATGTAGCTATTAGAAAATGTGAAATCACATATGTGGCTCTTATATTTGTCAGACAGTGCTGGCCTAGAGCGTCCCTTTATATGCCCTGCCCCACCCCCCAGGACTCCTGTGCCCACTAGATGGACTGTTCCTTGTACAAAACCTGTTTGTTCATGATTCCCCTGGAACACTCTCAGGACACCCCCAACCCTACCCCAGTATGCTCCATGGCCCCATCTACACTTTAGTGCTCTCATTCCATGACCACCACCTCCTTCTCTCTTTTGTTCCCTCTAGGTCCCACCTATCTGTGCTTGGTTCCCAGCTCCACCTCCAAAAAAATTATAAACCCTTCTGATAGGGATCCTGGGGTGCTGGGGGGCCTCCTAGAGGTGCTATATCTCCTGCTTCTCTCCCCCCATGTACTCAGCCCCCACTTTGCCAAGGTCCAGCTTCTACCCCTCCCCTTTCCGGAGCCACCTTCCGTGGGCCTCACCCTGGTCTCTCCACAGCTATAATTCTGCCTGCCTTCAGCCCCTACACCAAGTACGCTGTCATGATCAACCAGGTCACACCCTACAACTACCCAGGTGAGTAGCAGCTGTATCCATCTCTCTGGTTTTCTGTCTCCAGGTCCAGAAATCTTCCTGGTTGTCTCTGCATCTCTGATTCTCTGACCCTTACTCTCCTGTCGTCTCTTCCCCCTGGGGTCCCAATTGCCTCTTTGAATGTAAACTGACAGACCAGCCCTTCTCTAGAGCCCCTGGAGATCTGCTGGTCTCAGTGGCCCACCCTCCTGTCCCACAGTGCCCGTCCGAGATGATGGGAACATGCCCGACGTACCCAGCCACCCCCAGGACCCCCAAGGCCGAAACTTGGAATGGCTGAAGAAACTGTGAACACCTCCACTGACAGGGAGGAGGCCCCTCCCCTGTGGCCCCCAATAAAAATGTGAAAACTGACCCTAGAGTCGAGAATCTGTGTGATAAGAGGTGGGAGCAGCAGACCATGGCCAAGGAGAGTGTGGGGTCAGTTTATTGGGGGGTCAGTCAAAGGGGGGGCTGGCTAGGGTGGGGTAGGGCAGCAGTTTGTCTGGCTCCCGAGAAACCCAACTTGAGTCCAGCGCCTCATCCGCTTCGAAGCCAAAGTCTTCCTCAACCTTTATCTGGGGAAAGAGTGTGGCGTGAGTAGGCCTGGGGTCTGGAGAAGGCCCTTCGGCCCCACCATTCCTACTCTTCCAGGCCAGACAACCTCCTCTGTGTGCCCCAGAAATTCCCAGTGTTCCTGGGTCCACGTGGTCTCCAAGTTCTCTAGCCGCCGTCTCCCATCCCATTTCCTCCCCACAGCCTCCTCCAGGTCTTCCTCCTTTCCACCCAAGCCTTCCTGGCTTTTTCGAACTCTTCTTCCAACCCCAACCACCAACCCTGCTTCACCTCCTCTGTCCCGCCCTC